AGAAGTTCTTGACCAAGAAAGCTACAGCTCTTCTCAGAATAAAATTAGGGATAAATTCACTGCATATAGCTATTGGCAATTTTCAATGAGAAACCAGGAATAAAAGCAAAAATATAACATAAAGCATAGACAGGTAGGAGTGGGAAGGGGAGGGAATAATAATTAAGGAGCATGACTTGTTAGAGGAGATATATACTGTGAATTTGAGACTGGAAATTCAGATGGTTAAGGCTTGGACTTTTTTGGTGAGAAGGTTGAGAGGAAATGAACAAGCTATTTTGAGTAGGCTGGACAGGTAAGACAACAGTGCAAAGGGCTGCAGTGGGGGAAATCCTCATCCCAGTGAACAGCACTCTTCTTTTTATGAAACTCAGGGTAAAACTTGCCTTCTGGGCTGCATACACACATTGCTGGCTCATGTCTCATTTTTCATCCAGCAGTATAGCTAGGTCCATCTCTGCAGGGCTGCTCTCAATCCATTCACCACCCAGCCTGTAGTGAAAATGAAGATTGCTCCAATCCAGGTGTGTGACCTTTCACTTGGCCTTGGTGAACTTCAGGAAGTTCACACTGGCCCACTTCTCAAGCATGTGAAGGTATCTCTTCCCTCAAGTGTGTGTCAGTTGGATGAGCAGTGATGCCTTGTGAGATAAAAAAGGGGCTCTTCAGCTTCAGACCATTAGAACTCATTGAGACAGACCTAAAGCAGACTGAAAGAGCCTTATTGCCATTGTCAGAACTGGGATTTAAAAATGTATCATAAACATAATAAGAAATAATTTGCATATACACTGAAAAGATAATATTTTTCTATATATATGTGAACTGTGCCTATATACTAACCATCAAGCATCCTAGTCAGGCTCAAACAGCCCAAGTAAAAATGCTGAATCTTAGATAAGAAGCAAGAGGATTACTGGAAAATAAAAGAAAGATAATTGGCTAAACATACTTCTGAGGTCTGCAATATAAGTGTCACTATTTTATTGGATAAGTAAAATACCAGACCTTGTTCATTTTGAGCTACCTGACAAACTAGCTGCAGATCTAGCTGATAATCACTGCCTTTAATGGTTTTGATACAGATTCTCTCCTGCAGCCAAGTGTTACAGAGATTGAAACTGTTGAGCAGCTAGTCACATTTTCTGATTCTGAGGAACTTATTTGCAGATTTGGCCCAGACATGAGCAAAACCAGGCAAGGAGCTGCATTAATTTATGCCACTGTCAGACTCTCTCACGATCTCTCTACCACTGGAGTTCCTCTCTGCCACAACCTTTCATACTCTGACTAGGGATTTCCCATGCAAAAATATACATATGTGCAATGCACAGATGGTTTGCATATGCGCAGTAGGCTTAACATAGCTGATTTACTGTGTATGCACAGACCATCTGTGCAGCACATGTGCAGCAGGTCTGATGTGTACTGGACACATTGGACTTACTGTGCATGTGCTACACAGTTAATCTGCACACACACAGTAGCCACAGCTCTGACTGAGTTGCCAGACATCCAGATGGCCAGAGTCCTTAAATCCCTTCCAGAGAAAAAAATGAAGATGGAATAAGGATGTTTGGTTTTGCTTGTTTTTTCTTCTGGTGTATAACATAGCTTATCCTTTATTCTCAGATGTAGGAACATATTAAAGTGGATATACCAGCTCATCATATTTCAGTCTAAAAAAAAATTTCGCCCAGATAGAGAGCAATTCCCTCTGGTCATGCATGTCCAAAAACAACTACAGAAAAAAAAACAGAGCTGTGATAAAGATTCTTCTCTGTAAAGTTTTACAGAAAAAACAAATCCATAACAAGTGAACTACACAGGCTTCTCTCAAAGAGGATTGGCAGCCACTTCAGATTTTCTGACTATAAAAATCTTTTCAATCTAGAAATATTTAAATTATTCAGGTTAATGCTCAGAACACTCAGCCACCCTGATCAATCACAAGCCACAGTCTCAGGAAGAGAGCTGTCTTCTGCCTTGCCTTTTGGGTGGTTGAGATTCAGTGTCTTAGACTGTACATGCTGCTTGCTTTCCCATTAAGACTGTGAACTAATACCACTGTCACTAATGTTTTTGGCAAATTTCCCATCAATAACTTTTCCCTTAAACTTAAACATAAAAGTAACTTATTAGACCCACCAGTATTTTTGATAATTGCTAAACACACTGGCAGTTCTAATGTATGGAAAATTTTTCTATATTTACTTACTGGGAAGAAGTATGAAAACACTCTGCATCTGTGGCTGGCATGCAGCTTCTTTTGCACGACCTGAAAATGCACACTGTAATCTGCTCAGTTTCTTCTGCACTCTGGGGAAAGGCCTCTCTTGCATTTATTTGCACGCTCAGGCTGCCAAACTCCCCAAAGTGGCAGCACAGAGGTGCTTCTAAGCATTATCTTCAGCAGAAAATTCTGTTTACAAACACCAGGCCCAAATAACCCTCTCCAGGAAAAAATATAAATTAAGGGACCACTGAAAAATAAGACATGAAACAGAAGTTTGAGGCGTTCAAATATGCATTCATATTATGTGACCCAAAGCTACAAGAACATATAGCTTTTAGATTAACAAAAAAAATCACATTGTTTTTTCTCTTATTGCATGTTTCTGCCTACAGATATCATCAAGGTCTGTTTGTTGTGTTTTCAAGAGTAAATCATATTAGGTGCCTTACCCATAGGCACCAGGCTGTGAGGTGCACCAAGGCCTTCTCTACTCCATTCTGAGCCAGTCCTGTTCACACAGACCTTCCTTGCCTCCCCGAGCCTCTTAAGTTTGCCACCTGTCTCCAGGAACCCAGAGAGGACATAATGCCTGAATGAGGTCTAATGAGTGCTGAGCAGAGTGGAATCACCCTTGAACCTTCTGGAAATAAGAGAAAACAGGAGAAGACCCCTCAGGGCTCCTGTGTGGCACTGGGCCTGGAAATGCTGCAGTCCCAGGCTCATATTCTTGCTGTAGGCTTTGTATCCACCAACATGGATGGAGCCTGGAGGTTTTATCACCTGTGTGGCCACATCATGGCAGAGTTCACCACCCTGGGATTCACATACACAATCCCTGAGATGACAGGTAAACCAGGAATAATGGAGGATGGGGCAGGGGAGGGAAGGGAAGAGCTGGGGGATCACAGCACATCTGCTGCTTTGCTTAAAAAACTGCATAAGTTTAACACGTCCAAGCATCCCATCACAGACAGCTGCTCTGCAGGTACTCCGCACTACCTTCGTCCCTGTATCACCTTGAGTGGGAAGGACTTGGCTCCACCACCGCACATCTGTGATGTCCCAATATGAAGACCGAGGTCACCCTGAGTACCTTTTCTCCAGCCCTACTTCCAGGTGAATCAAGCAACCTTACTCATGGGGGCCCAAAACCTGCCCAGAAAGAAATCTGTCTGCTGCTGCCTCAGCACTTCTCCCAGAAAGCACAGCATCACTGACCTCATCTGTGAACGCAGGTAGGATGAAATTCCTTATGTAAATTAAAAAACAAGTTCTAAAATTTTCCTGTACCACAAAGGACTGAACATCCAGTCTGTTAATTAAAGCTTCATTTGCCTTTGTCCCTCCCCTGCAACAGCAACTTTTAACAAATATTTTCCTATTCTAACTTGGTCTTCTCTTGTACTCTTTCTAACTCAGATCTTCATGTAAGTTTAGCTAAAATATTTCCCATTAACCACAAGCATTTCAAAATGAAGAGAAGGGCACCTAAAGCCCTGACAAGGAAGATGCCTGCTCGGGGTTGGACTGAGAGGAGCCGCAGGCAAACAAGGTCCCCAAGGGCCCTTCCTCAGCAGGAAAACAAGGACTAAAAGCTCGTGAATGGAGATAACGACGCGTGAAACGGATTCGGCTGGAGGAAATTAGTCTAATTTACTGCTATTTATTCAGATAGCGAGGAAATTAAACCCCACTACCACCCACCCACCGCTCCCTTTGTCGCCGTCGGAGCTGCCCCTCACGGCTGCCGGGTCCCGCCCGGAGCCGCCTCAGGAGCGCCTGGGCCCGGTCTGCCCAAGCTGCCGGCGCTGCAGCTCCTCGGCACACCATGTTCCAGCTCGGCACCGCCGGACAGCGGCTACCGGGGCCGTCTGCCCTCCGGGGATGCGGCGGGACTGTGTGCCGCGGTGCCGGGAGCTTGCCTTATTCCCCGTGCACAAACACCCAACACAGCCCTTTCTAGTCCAGTGGTGCCTGAGCACAGGGCTTTTCTCAACTGGAGTAAGCCTGACTGAAGTGCTGGGTACAGAGCTGAGAGAGGCTCCTGCCTTGGAGCACGTGTGAGAGCTGCCCACTCCAGTTCTCATCCTGTTCCCTAGGAATCAGAGACGAATCCTTTTGTTATCGCCAAATTGCCAGACGGGAGAAACAGCCTCCCTGGGGTGCAGTAGAGTCCCATCACTGGGCACAATCAAGTTTGCAGTTGGCTGGGTGCTGGCTAGTCTCTTCTAGGTTGCCTTTCCCACACGAAGGCTGGATGAAGTCACCTTCCAAGGTCCCTTCCCACCTGGGCTGTTGCAGGATCCAATGATGATTGCATTTTCAGACTGGGAATAATGGTTCTTTCTCCTCAGCTGTCAGTGGTTTGGGGACTTGCCTGTGGAAATGAGCCTGTGGCAGGAGCTGCTGCAGGGCAGCTGTGTTTCTGGGTACACCCTGGGCAGATGCTACCTGTGTGCACTGAAAAGGGGGATGCTGAGATGGGCTTTGTCCTTGGGGCCGGCGTGGACTGTGGGGTGGACTGTGTAAGGCAGGGCTGGAAAGCTTTCACAGTGTTTTGCTCTGGTTAGGTGAAATGGTGCTATTGGAGATGTCAGCCTGGCACACGCTCTTACCTCACTGCTCTCCCCTCTTCCTTATCCTCCCAAGTTTTAACTGAGGCATAGACATGAGACAGTGAGAGCCATTGATCTGCACCCATGCACACCTATCCCCACCCTGCCACAAAGGAGGAACAGAAAAAGATCTCTGCAGATATCTGTCTTTAATCAAGATGTGTTTCAGGTATTAAAGAAGCTTTGTAGAGAGAATGTCGCAGTCCAAAAGTGTAAGCAGGGTCCCGGGCCTTGGTCACTGACAACTGGAAGGGGAAAACAGGAAGAAAAGAGTTGAAGATGATGCCTCAGTCTCCAGAGTTGAACTCAAGTGAAGGCTGTCCGGCATAACATGTTGGTGGCAAGGCTGTCTTACCTTTCCCAGGGTGTACTCTGCTGGACTTGGAACCCCATCCTTGCCAGCAAGTTTGGTTCTAAGTCCCATTGTATACTTGGGAGCCCTAGTTTTGTAGACATCCAGTTCCACCCTGTTAAATGCTGCAGGACCTGGTGTCTGCAAGAGAAGCAATGAGGTTGGTGGGTAAAAGAGGCAGTGGGGATTCTTGCTTGGGTGCTCATGAGTACTGAGCTGCTGCTGGTCAGAGGAGCAGAGTGGGAGGTCTGGGGCCTTGGGAAGAGAGGGCTCCTTGGGAGGAAAGGGCGATTTCTCAGAGGATTGAGGAGATTAGTGCCACTAGTGCCAGTGAGCTGGACCGTGCCAAAGCTGCTGGTGTGGAAAAGTGAGGGACAGCAGGTATTGGTGTTACTGGTAATAGCAGAGCCAGAGGACTTGTGGCTTCTTGGGCTTTGCTGCAAGTGCAAGGAAGCATGTGCTTTGTGGGGATATGGCAAGCACTGGGGCCCTTCTCTCCTGAGAAGAGCACCTGAGCTTCTGCTGCTATAGACAGAGAACAGAAAAGCATAGCTCACCCTTGCAAAGTCTTGAAAAGCGCTCTGGTATAGACTCTTCCCTTTCAGGGAGTAGCATGGTTCAGCACGGGTGTACGCTGTGTGGGGTCCCAGAATCCTGGGCAGGGTGTAGGTGGCAGGACCTGGAAATGGAATAGGAAGAGAGTGTGTAGGTCAGTCCTATGGAAAAGGTTGCAATGCCTGGGTGGAAGAGAGTCAGCCTGCCAAGCTGGCTGTGAGGAGCAGGAAGAGTATCCTGCCCCTCATCCCAATGCCTCTGGCTTCTGTTGCATGTGGTGTGCATTGGCTGTTTGAAGCTAGAGCTGTTGGTTGTTCTGTGAGATGGAAGAATTTGGTGCTCTGGGACAGCAAGAGGCCTGTTGAGCACACATTATGTCCTGCTGCCTAGCCATTTTGCTGGGCCTGTTGAAGAAGCTGCAGATGCTCCCCAGAGGACGCACAGGCTGTAAGAGTGTCTGTTTCCCGAGGTTCTGTACCTGGCGTTTGGAAGCCTTTTATGTCCTTGGGTCGGGACTTCAGGCTGTTCACCTGTGCAGTATGGTAGATGTGTTTGTTGGCAGGATCTGTGGTATAGTCCCCTGGGACAGAGAAGAGGCAGAAGAAGAAGTGAAGCTTGGGACCTAACTTAAGCTGAAGAGGAGAAGTAAGGAGGAGGTGCTCAGTCTTGCTTGTTTTCTGCCTGGAACTCTCTGAAGCCCATTCAGGGCTTGAGCAGAGAGTTTTGTACCCAGGTGGCACAGGGCAACAGTAAGGCATGCTTGTCTGGCCTGGAAGAAGGACTGCAGAAATGCTACTCACTGGGTCCAGGGGTGACTTCTATCTTGGTCTTGGGACGTGAAGTCATTTGTGCTGATGGAGCTTCATGCTTCCCAGTCTTGCTGATGGATGGATGGATGTAGTACCGAGGACCTGGTGAGCAGCTGTATTCGGCGGGACATTTGGTCCCTCGAAATGAGTATGCAGGGGCTCTGTACTTGGTAGGATCATGAGCCGCATGACCTGGGAAGACAAGCCTCTGAAAGGACCTGTGTCCGCAACTGTGTAGTGAAAGGAAGTTTCTAAGTGGAAGTAAGCGGTGAGCTGTGCCTCCTGCTGCCACTGCTTCCCTGTGATAATTTACCTGTTGTCCCAGGAATCCAGTACTTGGGACCTGGGGTAGCAAACTCTGCAAGGATTGGGCCCCGTCGGGTATGAGGCCTCCAATTGCCTACCCAGGGTCCCTCCATGCTGGTGGCTAAATAAACTACAGGAAAAACAGGAGAGCTACCAAGGTCTTTCCTGAAACTGCCCTGGTATGGAGCTTTCCTGTAGCCCAGAGTAGGAAGAAAGTGAAACTAGCATCACGGAGTAAATTGAAAGAAAGTGAAGAATAAGATGTAGCAGATGGAGGAGAAGGAGGAATGGGGGAGAAACAGCACGTTAGAAGCAAAGATGCAGCAAAAACTCCTGCTGTGCCTTCAGGCAGTAATTGTTGGCCAGGCCAGCAGCAGTGGAGAAGCGCAGTGCAGGCCTGGGAGGGAGGAAGTCTCTGGCACGTATACACATGAACTTGGTCAGCTGGAGTGTGGTGCTGACTGGGTGTGGTGCTTGCAGGGACACCAGCTCCTCCGTGACATCATAATCCATTGCTAGGTGGATCCATCTTCATTGACGTCCATCACCAGGTGACGATGGACACAAATGGCCAAAAGGCCATTCTCACCCAGTGATGAGCAAAGCCCACTGTGATGCTGAGACCCCTGCAGCTGTTCGTGCTGCAGCGCTGCCGTATTGCCTGTATGGCTCCTCGGGGGCTGCCATGGAATTGGCTCAGTCTGTTGTGTGTTTGTCCTCACACTCCCCACATGTGCACAGACATCCAGCACAGCCTTTTCTGGTCCAGTGGTGCCTGAGCAAAGGGATTTTTTCACCAAACAGGATGAAAGAAACTTATCCAGCGCCAATTTGTTGTGAATTAGCAGACACTTCTTTATTTCAGTGCCAGGAACATTGGAGATGACTCCTCCAAATTTATTCTAATTAGCAAACAAATTTCATCCATTTTATATGCTTTTTCTGCTGTGTCAAGTTTACATAAGTTCTTTTACCTACTATGCACAATTTGACCATTCTTTACCTTTAAAATGATTTGTTTTACTAGTTATATAACTTCAATAATACTGCTACTCCAAGACAAACACTGGCTGTATCTATTTAGGTCTACTGACTGGAATCCTTGATATTCAAACTAAGATGGGGAGGGTAGGGGATTTCCAAGCAGTCTAACTGGTGTGCATGAAAATTTCCATAGCTTCTTCAACAAGGCATAAAATATCTGCTAGCTTCTTGGTAAGATTTCACTGGTTGAATACTTCAAAAACAGCACTCCTAACATTCCTATACCATATGCTTAATGATTTTCTACTCATAATCATAACGAAAACTTTTTCTTATTACATCAATTTTTTTTATCACTAAATTTATAACAGGCTGAATAGACTGAGGTGCTGGGTACAGAGCTGAGAGAGGCTCCTGCCTTGGAGCACGTGTGAGAGCTGCCCGCTCCAGTTCTCATCCTGTTCCCTAGGAATCAGAGACGAATCCTTTTGTTATCGCCAAATTGCCAGACGGGAGAAACAGCCTCCCTGGGGTGCAGTAGAGTCCCATCACTGGGCACAATCAAGTTTGCAGTTGGCTGGGTGCTGGCTAGTCTCTTCTAGGTTGCCTTTCCCACACGAAGGCTGGATGAAGTCACCTTCCAAGGTCCCTTCCCACCTGGGCTGTTGCAGGATCCAATGATGATTGCATTTTCAGACTGGGAATAATGGTTCTTTCTCCTCAGCTGTCAGTGGTTTGGGGACTTGCCTGTGGAAATGAGCCTGTGGCAGGAGCTGCTGCAGGGCAGCTGTGTTTCTGGGTACACCCTGGGCAGATGCTACCTGTGTGCACTGAAAAGGGGGATGCTGAGATGGGCTTTGTCCTTGGGGCCGGCGTGGACTGTGGGGTGGACTGTGTAAGGCAGGGCTGGAAAGCTTTCACAGTGTTTTGCTCTGGTTAGGTGAAATGGTGCTATTGGAGATGTCAGCCTGGCACACGCTCTTACCTCACTGCTCTCCCCTCTTCCTTATCCTCCCAAGTTTTAACTGAGGCATAGACATGAGACAGTGAGAGCCATTGATCTGCACCCATGCACACCTATCCCCACCCTGCCACAAAGGAGGAACAGAAAAAGATCTCTGCAGATATCTGTCTTTAATTAAGATGTGTTTCAGGTATTAAAGAAGCTTTGTAGAGAGAATGTCGCAGTCCAAAAGTGTAAGCAGGGTCCCGGGCCTTGGTCACTGACAACTGGAAGGGGAAAACAGGAAGAAAAGAGTTGAAGATGATGCCTCAGTCTCCAGAGTTGAACTCAAGTGAAGGCTGTCCGGCATAACATGTTGGTGGCAAGGCTGTCTTACCTTTCCCAGGGGGTACTCTGCTGGACTTGGAACCCCATCCTTGCCAGCAAGTTTGGTTCTAAGTCCCATTGTATACTTGGGAGCCCTAGTTTTGTAGACATCCAGTTCCACCCTGTTAAATGCTGCAGGACCTGGTGTCTGCAAGAGAAGCAATGAGGTTGGTGGGTAAAAGAGGCAGTGGGGATTCTTGCTTGGGTGCTCATGAGTACTGAGCTGCTGCTGGTCAGAGGAGCAGAGTGGGAGGTCTGGGGCCTTGGGAAGAGAGGGCTCCTTGGGAGGAAAGGGCGATTTCTCAGAGGATTGAGGAGATTAGTGCCACTAGTGCCAGTGAGCTGGACCGTGCCAAAGCTGCTGGTGTGGAAAAGTGAGGGACAGCAGGTATTGGTGTTACTGGTAATAGCAGAGCCAGAGGACTTGTGGCTTCTTGGGCTTTGCTGCAAGTGCAAGGAAGCATGTGCTTTGTGGGGATATGGCAAGCACTGGGGCCCTTCTCTCCTGAGAAGAGCACCTGAGCTTCTGCTGCTATAGTCAGAGAACAGAGAAACACAGCTCACCTTTGTTGGCTCTTGAAAAGCGCTCTGGTATAGACTCTTCCCTTTCAGGGAGTAGCATGGTTCAGCACGGGTGTACGCTGTGTGGGGTCCCAGAATCCTGGGCAGGGTGTAGGTGGCAGGACCTGGAAATGGAATAGGAAGAGAGTGTGTAGGTCAGTCCTATGGAAAAGGTTGCAATGCCTGGGTGGAAGAGAGTCAGCCTGCCAAGCTGGCTGTGAGGAGCAGGAAGAGTATCCTGCCCCTCATCCCAATGCCTCTGGCTTCTGTTGCATGTGGTGTGCATTGGCTGTTTGAAGCTAGAGCTGTTGGTTGTTCTGTGAGATGGAAGAATTTGGTGCTCTGGGACAGCAAGAGGCCTGTTGAGCACACATTATGTCCTGCTGCCTAGCCATTTTGCTGGGCCTGTTGAAGAAGCTGCAGATGCTCCCCAGAGGACGCACAGGCTGTAAGAGTGTCTGTTTCCCGAGGTTCTGTACCTGGTGTTCGGTAAGCTTTCGAGTCCTTGGGTCGGAACACCATGGTCTGCGCCGGTGCAGTATGGTAGATGTGTTTGTTGGCAGGATCTGTGGTATAGTCACCTGGGACAGAGAAGAGGCAGAAGAAGAAGTGAAGCTTGGGACCTAACTTAAGCTGAAGAGGAGAAGTAAGGAGGAGGTGCTCAGTCTTGCTTGTTTTCTGCCTGGAACTCTCTGAAGCCCATTCAGGGCTTGAGCAGAGAGTTTTGTACCCAGGTGGCACAGGGCAACAGTAAGGCATGCTTGTCTGGCCTGGAAGAAGGACTGCAGAAATGCTACTCACTGGGTCCAGGGGTGACCTCAGTCTTGGTCTTGGGACGTCCCATCATATGTGCTGATGGACCCACATACTTCCCAGTCTTGCTGATGGATGGATGGATGTAGTACCGAGGACCTGGTGAGCAGCTGTATTCGGCGGGACATTTGGTCCCTCGAAATGAGTATGCAGGGGCTCTGTCCCTGGTGGGATCATGAGCCACATGACCTGGGAAGACAAGCCTGTGAAAGCACCTGTGTCCGCAACTGTGTAGTGAAAGGAAGTTTCTAAGTGGAAGTAAGCGGTGAGCTGTGCCTCCTGCTGCCACTGCTTCCCTGTGATAATTTACCTGTTGTCCCAGGAATCCAGTACTTGGGACCTGGGGTAGCAAACTCTGCAAGGACTGGACCCCGTCGGGGATGAGGTCTCCAACTGCCTACCCAGGGTCCCTGCATGCTGGTGTCTAAATAAACTACAGGAAAAACAGGAGAGCTACCAAGTTGCTTCCCTGATACAGCCCTGGTATGGAGCTTTCTTGTAGCCCAGAGTAGGAAGAAAGTGAAACTAGCATCACGGAGCAAAGTGAAAGAAAGTGAAGATGTGAAAGATGGAAGAGAAGGCGGAATGGAAGCAAAGCAGCACGTTAGAAGCAAAGATGCAGCAAATCTCCCTGCTGTGCCTTCAGGCAGTAATTGTTGGCCAGGCCAGCAGCAGTGGAGAAGCGCAGCGCTGGCCTGGCGGGATGGTAGCCCCCAGCGTGTGTACACGCGAACTTGGTCAGCTGGAGTGTGGTGCTGACTGGGTGTGGTGCTTGCAGGGACACCAGCTCCTCCGTGACATCATAATCCATTGCTAGGTGGATCCATCTTCATTGACGTCCATCACCAGGTGACGATGGACACAAATGGCCAAAAGGCCATTCTCACCCAGTGATGAGCAAAGCCCACTGTGATGCTGAGACCCCTGCAGCTGTTCGTGCTGCAGCGCTGCCGTATTGCCTGTATGGCTCCTCTGGGGCTGGGCAGGGGGCTGCCATGGAACTGGCTCAGTCTGTTGTGGGGCAGCCCCAGTTTGTCCTCACACTCCCCACATTTGCACAGACATCCAGCACAGCATTTTCTGGTCCAGTGGTGCCTGAGCAAAGGGCATTTGTCAACTGAGCTCTATCACCCTGATCTGCTGGCCACAGAGCTGAGAGAGCTGAACTGCTCAGAGCTGACAGAGGCTTCTGCTTCAAGGCATCTTTGAGAGCTGCCCACTCTAATTCTCACCCCATTCTCTGGAAACCCAAGGAGAATCCCTTTTATATCACCGCTTTGCCAGGGGGGAAAAGACAACATCCCCAATATCCGGAAGTAAACATGCCCTGTCTCAAACTTGCACTTTTCTTGCTTCAGCCCTTCCATTAACTCCTGCACTGGGGGGAACAGAGTGAGTAAACAGCTGATGTGGCTTAATTTCTGT